AATGCGCTGAAACCAGATGGTCCAACAGGTTGCGCTGGGGGATGATCCTGCTACGTGCCAATGGGATTTTTTCGGACGGATTTCTTAAGCACAAATACTGAGAGCAGAAGGGCTCGTCGCAGGCAATTGCCCCTGACACGCGGCTCGTTTTCGAGAGGCGTGTATCTGATCTGTGTTTGCGCTTCTCACTTTGCTTGGTACCTTGCAGCAGTACACTATAGTGATAAGCTGGGTTGCATAGCTAGGAAACCCCCGCATTTCTTCTGCTAACACAGCTCGGAAAGCCAATGCCTGTTTGCCTGCCAGAGCCTCTTCAAGACAACAGTGCCTGATTGTAAGAATGGACATGGTCCCCTTTTAACAAGATCTACATTGACACATGCAAGGAGTCCTAGTTCAGTTTGGACGTCGCTTGAGCTCCAAAGGCGTGCTGCTATCAAGTCGGCAGGGGATGCGAAGAAATTGTACGGGTAGCAAAGGAAGTCAGGGTGAAACCATTTTGGGTTCCATACACCCCGCAACAATATAAAACCCCAAAAACGTTCCTAGAGGAAATCCCCTTGGTGCGCCATCTTTTCGGGTTCCATGTGAAGAGATCAGGGGAGTATCCCTTTGGGAGGCAAGCTCGTTTCGCCTCCCCAGGCTTCGTTTGATGCCTATCTCGTCGGAGCTGCTTCGTTCGGCCCGGGAACCCGACGTGAGCTCGAAAGTTGTTTGGTTATGCCTTCGATGGTGAGTTGATTGTGTGGTTGTGTCTGGTTTCACTTGTCTTGCTTCTGTCGTTTTGGCATGTGTTCTCGCTGGTAGCCATCGCAGCTGCCCACTCTCAGGGTCCAAATATCTATTCCTTGCGAAGGATGTTTCGCCTTGCAGCAAGAACATGGCCATTAAAAAAGGCTACCCTCACATGGGTGTCTCATGTTTTGGGGATCCCCAAGACCCCCCAAAAAACGGATGGTTCCTTTTGGTTTCCCTTTAAACCAGGGGCTTCCCCCAACGAAAGCCGAGCCACCCAGGTGGAGGAGACATGGAAGAAGGCGGGGCCAGACCCTCCTGGGAATTGGCTCGGGGTTGGGAAAGCCACTGGCCGGTTCGGTGTTCCCGAAACGGAGGGTCCTTCGGCTTTGCGTTGTCTCACACGGGATCGATCGATCCAGAATGATCTGCTTTGAGTTTGCGACATTGAAGAAATTCAGTGTGGGCAGAGTTTCTCGTTGCACGATTTTTGCATCGGTAAGGTTTTACCTACTTGCCCAAGTTTAGGGACGCACTTCTGGACGTCAAGTCTGTGAGCTGATCGGTATGGGCTTAGGATCAGTTTTGAGTTTGTGAAGAACTCATTGGGCTGTGTCACTGGCTTAGATTTGCTTTGTGCTTGTGCAGAACTTATTTGACGGTGTTGTTTAGGTTCAGTACTGGGGCAAGGCAGGAGCCCAAGCCTTTTAGCTGAGTACCTGTAAACACTGAATTGTGCCTCAGCGGCTGGGCTGTACTCTTGCAAGCATTGTTGTAGTTTCGGGGCTCCAGACTTGTTTTCCTGCAACTTGAGCTTGAGAAACAGAAGGTGTTGCAATTAGGCCTGAATTCGGGGGGGCATAGGAAGACTGCTTGCATGTTTAACATTGCGTACCCCCTGAATCGATGACGAGCCCAAAGGCAAATCCTCCAAGGATTTTAAGTGGATTCGCACTTACCAGGTAGGGTCACTGCCTTTCACCTAAAGCCGATGCCTGCCGAGGTGTACGGACTCTTGGCGGTTGCCTCAGTCGCGAGTCGCGAGTCGCCAGGGGCGAGCGACTTGGATCGGCGGCGGAGAAAACCAACTTTGATGCCATTGAAGTATATGTTCTTCAGGAAGTGCATTGCTGGGTCGCTGGATTTTGCTTGCCCAGCATCAAGGCAATCCGATTTCAGCCCAGATCTTGTGCCTGTAGCAGCCAACACCTGCTGGTTTAGCGGGAAACCAAGAGGAAGCCAACCGTTTTGGGGGCTCCCTTAAAAAACTAACACACAGGGCACCATGGACAAGTGTTGCTGGCAATGGCCGGCAGAGAGCTTCGGGAGCCTTCAATGGATCCTTTTGTGAAATGACTCCTGCGACGGAAGCGAAGCCAGATCTTCCAAGGTGCGCAGCCATAGCAATCTGGGAGCGATTTGGAGAGACCCATCAGCAACAGAGTTCAATGTATATCTTCTTTTGCCACTGCACGGAGCCTAATTATTTGACCCTCTACCCTAGGCTGGGGGCTTTACCACTTCCCAATTCCAAGTCCCAGGTCTTAGCCTCACCGTGCTGCGAAGGTTGCTGCGGTCGGAGCGGACAACGTGTTGATGCGGTCCTGTGATGAAGCTGCCGGGAACTCAGTGGGTCAGGGTTGACCCCCTACCGCCCCCCCCCCCCGGGTTGTGGGGGGAATGAAGGGCTTCCTTTATGAGTGGTTCTACATGGAGGGCGGCTCCCACATGATATCTATCTTTGCACATAGCCCAGTCTTTTGCTGGGTTTTGGGGGTGCATGCGTGGCATGGAAGCAAGATCAGTGCAGCATGCCTTCAGAGTTCTGCTGTCAGGGGAGGTGTTTGAGCGAGATTGATGCTTGACCCTGGCACTGAGACGCGTGAGAATGTGGCATATGACCAGATGTGAGACCTTCCGACCATTCTTTGCATCCACCAAGTGTTCAAACATGGATCAACCTGGGACTATCTAAGCATTTCTATACTGACCCTCTAGGTGGTGAGTGGCTGGCATGGTATCATGTTCACAATTCCTGCCGTCAGAGAAATGATGCTTGTTCACAGCAGCACGGTATATGTGGGCTTGTCAAAAGGGCTTCCTGGTGCGTGTGTGTGTGTGTGTGTGTGGTTGTAAAACACAAATATGTTTCGTTAAAGACTATCCATAAAGAGTGGTCCTCGTAGGCCCCCTTTCGCGTGATTGAAAAATCACCTGCGGGCTTTTCCAACTCCTTTAGTTGGGGAAGTTGGGGTGATGCTTGGAGTTGCCGGGCAGGCATTGCGCGTGCAAGGCTTTCCCGTCAGGGCCTGAGTGAGTGCCTTGCTCTGATTAAGCATGTGTATGGGCCCAAAGTAGGTGACCCAGTGTGTGCGGTATACCTGCGTTGTCCCGTCCAAAAAAAATATGGATCCTACACAGGACAAATCCACACAGCAAATGGTGTTGCTTGGAAGCTGCTTCATTCAAGCTACAAGAATCATTCCGATCTATGGACATGAAAAACAATCGCATACTTTTTCCTTTGGGCCTTTGGGCCGTTGAATGCAGTCTTTTGACACTTGTGACGGAGCAAGTCCTAGCACATACGGCAGTAAAGGGGATGATCAGAACAGAAAAATCCCATGTCAGCTGCAACGCGTGGGTCTGGGTCAAAAGTAAACCACTAGGGGACCGCAGGTTTTAGTCCATGTGTCCATTTACCAAGGTTCCATCTTGGGTACCTATTTTTGACCCACAGCCACATATTGCCCGTCAAAACGGAGCCATCGAAAAGCGCTCAGGACCCAATTGCCTGGGCGGAAGCTTTGCGCCGAGCTGTGCGCCAGAACACCGGCCACTTGCCAGCAGAGAGCACAATCAGACAGAGGGAGATGCCTCCTTTGAGTTTTGCCATGATTTAGCCCCCCGACCAAACTCGACCACAAGGCATGTTTTTTTTGGGACCTGCCGCATGCCTGCGCTGACAGGTTCTGAGGTTCCAGGGGTTGCACCTCCCACTCCCTCACCACTTAGGCTGCAGCTGCAGCGTGGGCCTGGGGCCCTCACAATTGGTGGCCAAGCTCGCCACCAAGGCCCACGGAGAGTGGAGCTTGAGCTGAAACGAGGTTGGCTTTGTCAACCTCCGGAGTCCCAGGATAATTGGAGGTGAAGCAACAAGGGAGGGTTGAGCCCTGAATCAGAGGGTCAAACAGGTGGTTTCAAGAGAGTTCTACGGTTAAAAAGGAGCTGTCAGTGGATGCGATAGATCATGCAGATGCCAGCTCACACTTTGCGACTAGGATAATTGTTTTCCGGGATAGTCTAGGATCAACCCAATGCATTTCAATGACCTTGTAGAGACAGCGCAACAAAAATTGGCGACTTTGGCCTGCAAGATCTTTCAGGCCTGCAAGCCGAACGGCGTTCGCCAAGTCTTGGACGCGGAGGCTCGGAGGCTCAAGAGTCGGTCGTTGTTCTGCACATGCCCAGTCTGTATGCACGGCCTCTTCAATTGGCACAAGAGTGACGCTGGATCATGCTGCCCCATGCTGCCCCGTGCTGCTTGCCTTTTCAACAGGGGTGGGTCTTGCCAGAATCCCATGAAAAGCACTGGCTAGCTTAGCTACCCGGAAACTGGCACGTGCAACACCTAATATCGACCGGTGTCCTCACTCGCCAAAGTGTCCAGTATTCATGTGTCCATGTCACTTGGTGGGCACAACTGATATTGACCGCGACTGAATCAGAAGTGGGGCCTTTCAACAGGAGGCTTCTTTGGTTGGCAAACGGCTGTGGGTCAAAACCCTGTACCCCTGGTGAACATCAAAATTGGTGGCAAAGGGATGTCATAGGTTATGCCCCATGGCCAAGCGGGTTCCCGCCCTTTCGTTTTCCGCACGGCATCCGAGGTCAGCAACTTCATGGCCGCAATCCCGCTCCAAGACATGCCGCAGGTCGCAACAGAAGCATGTTGCGGACGTTTCCGCTTGAAGAGTGGAGGGTTAGGAGTCGTTTTTGTTGGTGGGTACCCAGTTTTGGGGTGGTTGGATCAAAAGGGAAACTTGGGGTAAATCACCCAATTTGAGGGTTTCCCCATTTAGAAACAACCCCGACCAGCGCTATGTGGATTCGAATTGAACACAATTCGAGATCGAATTGGTTGGACAAGGTTTGCGTTGGTTCGCTCCTACAAAACTGAAGCCGAGATGAGAGTCAGAGCGCTTTGACGGCGATGCCTCACATGGGCCATTGGCAATTCCCCAATCTTTACGTAGGTGCGCCGATGGGCAAGCAATGGCTCTGAAACTGCAAGGAGCCCGCTTGGCCATGTTACCTGGAGCCATAAAGCCTGCGATCGCAGCCATCAGATCATAAGCCATGGAGTCCGGGCCAGACCTCAGGCGGGCGTGGGGGGTTGAAGGCTATCCTCACTTTGCCCCATGCGGTTCCTCAACCCCTGGAACAGAGTCGCTAACATGGGCCATGCTGGCGAGTCTAATGCCCACCTGAAATATTGGCTGAGCTTTTGGATCGAATCCGAATCTCAGGCCGCTAGTTGCGACTGTAGGCCGGTTGCAGTCTCCAGGAAACACCTCCACTCTGTAAGAACAAGGTTTGCAATTGGAATCTCGAACGGCTGCCTTACGCTCAGCTGACAGAAGAGCATGAAGCGGGCGCAGTTTGTTGCCTGTCAATCAGAACGGAGGAAACGGCCCTAAGCACTGCGGTGGCGTGTTGGGCAGTTGCGCCCGTGCGAACTTGTATGGAGCACGCCCCTTGGTGCTTGACAACATGCCCTCCTTTCGCGCAAGGAGAACTGAAGTCATCCTTTGCTTTTTGAGCACATGCAGCTTTCATAGACTGCAAGACCTCCGTGCAGCTTTCATGTGAGGCGCAATGCCGCCGTGCCAGCCCCCAAGTCGCTGTCCACGGCGCCGAAGACGCTGTCCATGCGAGGTGCCACTGGCACGGGATTTCGGCAGATGGTTGCCGGTTGAAATCGCTCCATGGACTTGTGGTCCGGTGGATTCGCTCAAAATGTGTCGCTTTTGATCCAGGTCCAAAGCCAAGGTCCCTTTGCGAGCGCAGGCTTTAGCTCGAGATGCCCGATCAACTTTGAGCCATGGTCCCTGAAGCTTGTCCTCGGGGCCACCCTAAGATCCTGTGACATTCAAGCAATGGTTTCTTTTGGCCCAGCCTGGCTGGCGGCGTTGTGTGGGTCCCCCAAACCTTTTCACAGCAGGCAAGAGGTAGAACAGCTCTGCGTCCAATCTTGAGCGGAGGAAATTGGCCTTCTTAGTTTAGGAATGGCCCCATGCTTCACATGGTGCCTGACTCACGATGATCTTGAGGATTGCTTGACCAATACCCATTAGAAGCAGGCATACTTTGGTCACCACTGCCTCTCATACAACGATGATTTTGACTGGGGCCCTGGAAATCTGGCAATTCTGAGCTAGGACCACACAGGTGTTGGTTGCTGACGGCGCTTGATCTGCTAGTCCTTTCCGACTATCTTAGAACTGGCAAGCTCTGAGGCGCGCCAATGATTGCACATTTGGGCGACCAAGATGACCCGCAGAAGGCGGGCATCGACAATGTCTCGCCAGTCTGCCAGTTTGGCTTGTTTCGTCTACTCAAAAAAAAAGTTTGTGTCTTTCCTGTTTGATGGCCCTGTAGTCTTCTCAAAAGTTGATTTTGTTTCTTTCCTGTTTGATCGGCCTGTGAAGCATGTTGCGAGCCCTTGTGGCAACCGCTGGTCGCAGATTTGCAGATGGCCGCCAGCACCATTTGTCATTCAGCAAGTAAACGCCACACGCAGACAACTGGTTGCACCACAGCGACTGAAAAGCCGGGGGTGGGCTTTTCTGAGTGATGTCGTGAGCCTGCAAACTCGAGCTGCGTGCTTGGTGGGGCAAAGTGCAAGGGAGCGCTGTGCCGATTGGATCTGCGAGTTGGGCTTTGATTATTCATGCCAATTCTGATTGATTCCCTTCTTAGGCGGTGGCACGAAAGATAGCTTTAGCCTTAGTCTCTACTCGTGTTAGCAAGTTGCTGCGGTGGCAATCCTGACAATCCTGACTTGCGTATATCAATAGTTTCAACCAAAATAAGTATGCTTCAAACAACTTTAAACGGAGTCGGACTCGCTGAACCGGTCTTTCCGTGTCTCAGTCCTCTGCGCCTGTGTGCGGCTTTCATTCACCTGGTGTTCAAGTGGCTCGCGAGGTGACGCGGCCCGCGGAGAGTTTCTGTGTGTTCGTCCTGCACTGAACTAGCCTCTGGCAACATATTTAGTGATGCTTTGTGAGAATTTGTTTCGGGCATCATCCATGGCTGAGTTGGCTTGGATGCAGGACCCTGTGCAGCGGTACACGTGCGCAACTGCCGGCCTTCATCATCGCAGTGACACAAGAATACTATGGAAGACTGTGCTGGAAAGTGCGACGTCAAATGCAAAGCAGGGTTCCAACATCTCACTGTTTTCGGCATATTGACCTGTTCCAGTAAGCCACCGGTTGGGCACTGACTAAACGCAGCACAGCTCAATTGAACGTTGTCTGAAATTCCATGATTGGGCAACAGAGCGCAAGAAGTAGCAAGTTGCTCCTTGGCTACTCTGGCACAAGACCAGCCATGCCATTGATTTGTGAAAGTTGCTTATAGTCTGCATGAATGCAGAGCGTACTTGTTTTGCCTGTCGGAGTCAACGAATGCAACCCTGCGCACTCGATCGCCGAGAACGATCGCTCGCAGGCCGCCGAGACCTCCGTAAAGCTTCGC